TAAAATTAAGGAACGCTCGACCTCGACACGTGATATCGAAATGGGCGAAATCACCTCTTGATGTCACTAACTATCTTGAACACATGCAAATTAGGTTTTAAACAATTATTTTCACAATAAACTATGAATCATGCCTAATAGCCTTTTCATTGCAGCAAATCTCTATCTCTACTCCTTGATTAGCTGCAGACTCCTAAAAAAGGCGTTATAAATTTCAGCAATTTACGCAAAAAAAGTAAAGTAACAACAGAAGTTATCCCTACTGTGACCAAGATTGAGAGAAAGCTTGCTGCCTTCATGGGCAAACAGGAATGGGAGCAGAGAAGCTGTAAACTTCCAGGTGGTTTGTGGTTATGCTCCCAAAGAAATATACCTCCTTATGAGGAGCAGGCGCATCTTATGGTTCATGAATGCTTGGCCTTTACATCAGACGTCATAATGGACGTCTAGCTTCTCTAGACGTCTCTGTTTGAACCTTGAACCTTTAATCTTAATTCTCTTGAGAGGGATTTTGTGTTGTGAATTTGTGAATTTATTTCCCGAAGTCTTGCACTAGAATTTGTAAATTAAAACTGTGATATATAAATGTTACCTCTAAGCCCTTTATAGCACGAGAACCATGACACATGTTCACGTTCTTCTTCAATAGTAACTTTCACAAAATCGGAATGTCTCTGACAACTTTAGAATGTAGCATGAGACTAGCAGTTAGAATATTATTCCGTTTTAAATTTGGAAGGCGGTCGACTGGTTTACCTGTTCCCATTTGATAGAATGGCTCAAATCATATTCCATAAGCAGGGTTTTAAAGAGAAGTGGATACTCGCACCAGCAAAAATGTCACGTCAAGAGCTATTTAGAAGGCTTTTGGGCGTTATGGTTCGTAATCTAAAGGCACTATCGCTTCAAAATATGCATGAGAATGTCCTATATCAATTGATACAAGGTGTTCATGCGCACAAAGAGAAAGAAAAGATTTCATTTACGGAGCCATGAAAGGTGGAACCGCATGAATTACACTTTTCCCTTGACGAACCATGCAGCTTTGTTTATCCTTCTTGCTTCCCAGTCAATACCAACGCTGCCAATGTTTCGTCCACTTCTCATTATAGGGAACCTGAGGAGTGTTAGGCATCCTGTTAGGCTTTCTGTAACGAAAGAACGCTCTGCGAGAGGGACCCATCATCCATCCGATTTATAATTTGGCCCATCTCATGAAACCGACATGAAGCCATTTACGGCACGTATTATGGCCTGGGTACATTTGCGTAGATCGATTCAGTGATAGACCACCCTTCAAACAAAGCTTCCTTGAACATTAATGCTAAAATTTAACGTTCACGTTTAATTGATGTTCCAAACCCAAAATTCTCCTTGAAACAAAACTTATGTACGATCGCAGGTACACTCAAGAAAACGTGGATGTGGCTGTGAGGGAGCATCGTCCTTCAAGAATGCAGAAGGGCGACATAGGAAATCAGAGGTTGGCCATTTTTAGAGGGAAAAAGCGACTTTATAGGTGAAAAGTGCTTAAGTACGAGGGTGAGTCAAATCTGATTAGCTAAAAGTTACTACCCAATATTAATGAGACCGATGTCATTCAAAAGAGGAGACTCTGAAAATTGTTGTGCAAAGAATATCAAGCTAATTTACTGTATATTTACGAAGATGAGTTAAAAAGTAACTGGACATCTGCGAATGTAACGTATAACATATATATGGCAACGTAGTTCACGCATAGTACTGTGGTTAGAATGTCAGTGCCACGAATACGGTGACATTTGCCTTTGCTGCCATCTTGTGTGCCCTCGCACAGTTATGAAAAATGGCGGCTAAGAATCTTGATTGCTACTAGAAATGGTTGAGTTCGGTGGTTCGTTTTTTGGTCGCAGAAGGCATAAAAGACATCGAAATTTATCGCAGACTCAGGGGCAGTTTGCGAAGATTGCAAGAAGAAATGTTTATGAGTGGGTGCGAAATATCCGAAGTGGAAGGACGAGTGTTTCCGGCCCGAACGCGAGGTCGTCTGCAACACTAGTCATTCCACTTTGGAACTGGCAAGGCCTCCAGTGGTATTCCCTTCACGTGTCTCCCCTCTACAGTACTTTTTCCCACTATTCCCTGAAAGGACGTCCAAAATTGTTCAGCAATGAGGATGGAGAATGGTGAGACACAGCTATCATGTCTGGCATTTCGTATATCTAATGCAATTCTGGTCTCGATAACAGAGCGATGACTTAGTCTTTTACTGTTTGATAGTTTTATTTCCTGCTAAGAGATAAAGGAATCATCAACATCTGATGAAACCTCATGACTGACCATTGTCCCTTTCAGGAAAGCCACAGACTTCTAGCCATCGTCCAACATCAACTCTGCCTAATGTCTTGGTCTCCTAATTCGTTCTAATATTTTTACGCTATATCATGTTCACCACTCAAGGTTTGAGTTGAATCCACATAAGCATTTCTCTTTTTCTCGTCACGAGTGAAAGTCCTTCCTCCCCTCCCAGCTACAAGCCAAACCCTCTAAAGATGAGTATTTGAGTATTTTTTTAATAAGCAGGTCAACCTACTGTCTTGTTACATACTGCTATTTTGCTCCATTTTTGTCATGAAATTCTGTAAATTCGCAAAGCTATCCATAGAAAGGGCAGGGACTACGTCTCCAAATCTGAAACCTCCTTTTCTTATCGGTCCATGGAGAAAAAGGCCTCTTTAGCTCGAAGGCGCTTTGAGATATTTGATTTGATTTGCAGAGAATAAAAGAAACCTCACACCTCTCTTGATAAGCGATTCATGAGTCTGTTCAGTAAATACAACCTGAGTGACTTCACATATATATTTCTCTCTCTCTCTCTCTTTCTCTCTATCACTCTCTAACTGCTGCGCCATGATAGTAAATGAATGCTCAAAATACGGGCTATAATTCACTTCGTTTTATGACTCACCTGATAGCACTGTCCTGTCATCAGAAAAGTTATAATTCCTTTTCCAATATATTTCAGAATTTCTCCGGTTCAGATAATACTATATCAATAATTGCAGCAATTGTCATCTGCGCACTTTTAATTTCAAAGATAAGTAAGTACCCACTTGACCTTTGGCTCTTCTTTGCATTATCTCGATTATGGGGAAAAATACCTGAACTCTCACCGTTGAACTTGTCATGAAAGAATTCTCTTGAAAGGCCAAAACTAATCAACACTCACTATCCCGTCGCAACAGATGAAGACACTTTCCTGGAAAGGAATAAGGCCTTGGTTCGTCTGCATTCCACCACGAGGACCGTGCATGAACGTGGGACCCATCGATAAACTGACAAGTAAGATGTGAAAGTAAGCTTTTTTATATGAACTCCGAGGGAGTTTTTCAGCAGCTCTCATGCTTGCAACTTCAGAATAACAATACCTAAGCATTGTATAGAAATCTCACGAAGAGACATCATTAAAATATCATAGAGGCGGTTATTATACAGAATTTCACTCTAATCTACCTTACTAATAAGCGTCTCTGTGTGTCCGAGGCTGCCTCTCCTCCCAGACGGTTTAATCTTTGACCCTGGAACTTTAAACATAGGCTTCCAAGGGGTGGGGCATCAGGACGACGGAGTTTGGTGGCCCTGCATCCAATGGGTCGCTGGGCCGCCTTGGTTCACCAGGGTCATTTATCAGCAAAATAATCTCCTTTATTGTGTGTGGGAATTACTAAAGCCCTGGGATTTCCCAGTCAAGTTCATTTTTCTATGTGACCTTTCCCCTTTGAGATATTAGAGATATTGCACTTTAGTACCACTCAATTCCAGACCTTTAAGAGATTAGAGAAGTGCGTAGCGAAAGTGCAACTCGAAAGCAGTAGTCTGCCTCCGCGTGAGATATGGTATGGGATATGGATGTCGCAGTTGTTTTTCCTAATGTTTTGCTTGCTTTCCTCTCAAGGTCAACTTCCAGCATATCGACGCATTATGATTTTATTCGTGTCACTTTTGACGCTCCCATCCAGCACAGCGATTCATTAGTTACTTTATGACATTTGACTATCATATTTCCTTATCTCACTTGGAAAACCTCTAATTTGCCACCATGTGACAAAGAGCTACGCATTTCAATGAGTTCCTGTGCCTGACTATAGCTCAAATCCTAATTTCCTTACTATTTCATCAACTTTCCTCATGAACACACGTCTTATCTTGCTATTAAAATGTCTATGAAGTGATCAGAGATGAGTCACATCAGTCGTATGCTGTACCCTCGTGTTGTGTCTAGCCAGGCCCTCCCAGAACCAGTGAAGCTGAACCTGGTAAGCGACATGTTTTTTTTATGTTATTTTAGCTCCCCTCTTCAAGTACCTAACATTGTGGAAACTGAAATGGGAAAGGAGGTTGGCCACTGTGGAATTTTTCCTCATTGCGTCCCACGATGATACCGGTGACGATCAATAGGGCACAGATGGGTGTTATATGTGAAGCACTGAAGCAGTTCATATTCCATTCCTTGTCAACAATGATCTGTCCTTTTCAAGAATTTTCCTGTGTACTACCGGATATTGCACATACATAGCCCCCCCCTCCACAGCCCAAACATTTGAAGCTCGGAAAACATTTTAAATATATTTGGAATCCTTGTTCAATTTTGAATCTATTCCATCCAATTTTGCTTTTTCCTGATGTCATATGATGGTGAAAAACGTAAATTCAATTATCGCACCCATGCTATTGCGTTTCAAACTCATGATGCCAGAGCTGACTTCGTTTCCCGTTCATGGGTTTCGAAAAAGATTAAAAGTTCGGCTTCTATCTGATAAACCCCTATTTTTTTTAATTTTGATCACATGGTAATTGCTGAAAGGCTCAGGATTGCTTTTTTTGGGAAATGCGGAATGGCCAGGAAACTCTCCTGATCTGAATGTGGCTGAGACCATTGGGGTTATCCTGAAAGACCGAGTTGAGGCTCATGCACATGGAGGGCAAGCAGCATGGATTCTCCCGGGAAGCCTTGCAAAGCGACATCACCAGGGTGTTGAAGGATGTGGAAGATGACACCGAACTCTTTAAACGTCTCTTCTCGTCTTACCCCGTTCGTATTAAAGCTCTCAGAGACAGAGGCAGGGTGCATAAAAATTATGATAAGTACAGGTTTAGATTAAAAAATGAATGCCCTTTGTCATGATATACGAGTTTTTTTTCCTAGTTCTTACAGTTTAGGCTGTGGAGGGGGGGCTATCTATGTGCAACACCCGGTACATACCAACTACACTTTATGTAATATTTCCTGTATTCTTCTACAGTCCCTTTCCCTCTAATTCACTATGATGTTTCATATTTGTAGGCGCTTTTCTGTTCCAGTTGATCCATACAGGGTGTTCCAAAATGAACTTTCATGTGGCATTATACCATTCCGGGAAAAGAAATGAACCTTAGGGTATCCCCTGCTGGAAAAAAGAAAATCGCCCGAAATCGCCAATCCTAAGCCCAATTTTAGGAAAGAGGTACAGATGGACCTCTTTCTTTAAATTCGTATCCTTCCTAGAAGGGGAATGAGCCAAAGTTACGGAATGTGAGAGACGGGATTCAAGGAAGACCAGAGATCCTTAAGGCTCGGGATCTGTTCGGGCGAACGTCTTCTCCTTTCTTTGTCTCCTTTCTTTGTCTCCTTTCTCTGTCTCGTTTCTTTTCTTTGGAAAGGTATATTAAGGAATTAGAGACAATTAGCACTTTTTCATGGAACCACACCACCAGGACGCAAGGAAGCATATGATAACATTTTTTGGTAAGTTCACTAAAGGCATTAATAAATTATGAATTGTTTCTTAAACAGAAACTGCGCAATAGCGCAACCTATGTTAGTGATGCATCACTGTTGACGGGCTGTGAATCCGATATCTGCCCTTAGAAAGTCTTTCAACGCCGCAATGGCAGAGTGTGGTGAAATTCCGTTTCCAACATGCCACATCTCCCCCATATCAGAAGGACCTTTGACGATTTTTTTGTGAATTGTTGTCCTACGTCTGTGACTCAATAATAACGCTTGATAATTGCAATTATCGAACATTACAATTGAGTTCCTGAACCAAATTTAATGACTATAGCTCAACTCCAAGGGGTTTTCTTTTGGTTTTATTGGCAAGAGTATGTGTGAATCTGATTCACATTGTCCTACACTGCACATTACGTTTCAGTATGCAGAAGTTATCCCTTACAAAAAGATTCTATAGGAATCCTATAAGTTTTTGAAACGAAAAACCTATGGGATTCCTATAGAAAACTTACAAATTTTCCATAGAATCCTATAGGATAACGATAGGAACCTATAGGTTCTTAAAAGTATCCTATAGGATCTTAATGGTATGCCATAGGTATATTAAAGGATTCTAAAGGTTTCCTTTTTGTTTCCTATTGGTTTCCTATAGGATTCTCATAGGAATCTTATACGTTTTTTTCGTTCAAAAACCTATAGGATATCTATACATTCTTGTACATTCCTATAAGAATCCTACAGGACTGTTTCGTAAGGGATGCCTGCTTTATTGAAATTTTCTGTGACATGGTAGGGTCATCATAATAGTTCATGCTGATATCGATCGTCACTTCGAAGCTGGAAGTGCAAGCTCAAAACATACGCCTAACATCTCATTCACTGATATGGACTTCATGACGGATAAGCATGTCAAAGACATCTAATGCCAGATTCGAGTCGCAAGGGTAGAATTCCCCATAAGATGATGAGGAGCTTAGGTATAAGAATTCTGACCAAGAGCTCATCGAATGACATTAATCTCATGATGGGGAGAGATTTTGCTTCGCTGCCTGCTGCTGATTAAAACTAGAACCGCTGGAAATGCCCTTACAAATAGATTAATATAATACGAAATCGTTCGTGCTCATTAAGCTTCCTTACACCCGAAGGATCCCACAAAGACATTTGCAAAATCAAGGCAAAGGTATTGTACATTTTAAGAAATCAGTGGCAAATTCCTAGGAAGTCAGCATACTAGTTTATGGCATGCAGAGACGGAACCTCATTCAAAGTGAACTTCTTGGGGGGAAAATATTTTAAATCTCAAATTTGTGCATATGTTCTTCACCAGAGGACAGTGGCATCTTTCAGCACAATGAATCGTGAGCTCACTATCACACGGAGACAACTCTACTGGTGTGATCGAAATTCAAGAAATATCTTCACAACTGTTCAAGGAGACATTGGCAAGCTGACGAAAACATTTTTCCACCTTGGGTAACAACTCTTTATGGAGGTGTCAGAATTATTTTTTTTTTCATCCCCACTATAAGTGAAAATAGATTTATGTCCAGATGACGTAGGCTATCCATGGTGAGATTTCATGGTTGACGCTCCCTGAATTGCATAGGGAGATCCAAACGATTTTAATCTTGAATTAACTTTATTGATAGCATCAATGTAGTGAATTTAGAAATTGAAAACATGCCATCACAAGACATTGAGGATAGGCTCCGACGTATCCAGTAATGTAGACAATGCCTCTTCCCTCTCGTTATTTTAGGAAGTGGTAATGGTACTGACAAAAAGGGTGGGAAGCCAGTGAATAGACGAAAAAGCAAGCGAGAGGACCCAATCTCAACGACCCCAGGTTGCATGAAAATGAGATCATTTTCTTCTGCGTCTGATTACTTCTGCAATCCCCAACTGGGCAGTTCTTGAAATGTGATAGTTCTTCATCACCTCCAGGAACCTTTGAGATGAAAGCTTTTAATTGAATGTAAATAATGAATGTAATTATGACAGTTTGAACAATTGGATTTTGCATTTTCTTTCATCACCACCGCTAAAGAAATTAGAAAAATACATTTGAGTTGTAATAGCCACCATGTACCACGCAAGAATTCCATAGTTTCACTATAAAGTAGTTACAGTCTTTCAGAGGAGAATGGGTGTTTATTTCAGGAGACTCTTAGAAAAAGCCAAAAATTATTTTCCCGTTTACATCTTCGTCAAGATTCTAAAAAAAATACAGCCTTCCTGCTATTGCATTTAGCAATTTGAAAAGTATTGCCTTTTTTATTTTTGCCAATCCTGAAGAGAAACATTAAAAAATGCATACCTGCTTCAAGGTCTTTACAAAGGCAAAAGTCGAAATAACATGCTAACATATGTATAATACATTATTTAAAAATCCATAATTGTGGACGTATTCACTACATTGCACTATCAATAAACAGTGTTCGAGGCTGAAAACGTCTGAATCATTGCTAGCATGTATTTAGCGTAGAGGAGCCAAATTTCATATGAGCTCTTATGTGCTCAATGCTTCATAGAAAAACCTCTAAATGTTTTCTTTCTTTTTCCATGGGGGAGGCACGTTATCGGAACCTGGACTACTACTGGACTAGTGAAATTTCAGATAACTCTCAAGAATAGTCCCAAGAGGGGTCCATCCTTCAAGGAAATGGCATTCAGTCACGAAGAGCAAAGCGAACTGATCGGTGAGTATACTTGTAACAGGAAGACCCCAAATGTTGAGGAAGTCATAGGAATTATTTATCCATCCGCTGTTCAATTCCTGAACATATCTTATCATTTCTGCTCCAAACGCGCCAGTGACGGCTCGTCAGGAAGCACAAGGGAGACTGTGTCTAACCTCAAAAGCAGGATTGCAGCATGCAAACCGTTGTTCCGATGAGCACGACATAAAAGATTTGCTTTGACTCTTTTCGCAATAAAATCAGATTGTAATGTTACTCCCCTAGTAAGCACGGAAGAGCCCGCCTTGGAGGACCAGTTGTGTCTCAGGAATGATAAAAGGGAGAGGGGGGGAGGGGACCGCAGCTCTGGAATGAGGCAGGTGAGCTTGTCTCCCTGACTTTGTTGAACTCTTTGAGCACTCACAGAAGGGCAAGAATCGCTTTCTCCAGAACTCTCGTTCTTCCGGACGTCTTCATGCACGCAAAATACTCAGTCATGCATACAATTTTTCCAAGAATAGACTCATGTTCTAAAGGTTGCAGCATTTAAAATACTGTATATGCGATGTTACATTTTCCCCAAGCTAGGTTGTTACAATTGCCCCACGGTCTATCTTTCCATGGGGCAAAAGTAACATTGGACTCAACAAATGATATGATAAAGCCTAAGTCTGAATTTTGAGACAATGAGGTTGACATTAAGAGATCAGGTACCACATGTAACACTTTTACTTTTTAAAATTTCATTTGTTGCTATGAAAAATGAAATTGCAACAGAAAAGAAAAAAATTGGATTCCTAATTTTCTTACCACAGTGCGCAAATTGAAGTAAACACGTTCTTAGCCAATCACAGAGAAACAATAATTTTTGTGATATGAAGGATGAAGAGTGGTATGTTATGGACACAAAATGAGAAATTTTCTATAATTGATTTGCTGAAATACGAAGCATCCTTACAATTACCCCATTATTACTTTTGCCCCACCTCATCCTACACGTTAGTGAGTTCTGCTGAGAAGGGGGGGGGGGGGGGGGAGAAGGGGGGTGAGGTTGAGGTTGGGGTTGTGGTTGAAGAAAGGGGATGCCTTTCAAAAATGGTTTTCACATTACTGCATACTTCATTTTCTGAAAGACATTTTTTAAATAGTGCGATGGCTCGAGAGAGTCTGCAACAATTAAAATGCAAATCTCGCCAACTGATGCCAATATACGAGGACCTGAACCAAGGGGGTTCGGAGAGACCCCTCTTAGATCTGCGCAGAAACGTGTTTTGGGGGTGGAACGGCTCGCACTTGAGAGTATGCTGTGTAAGTAGACAAGGTAGCGAAGCGCGCTTTTGGCATGGGAACCCGGGCAAGACCATGACCTCGAGGAATCCGAATCTTGTGAAAATGTCCTCTACACAGAAAATCTCTTTCCTTTTGCGATGGGTTTTGTGAATTCGATGTCCGGCCATCTCACATTAGATCGGAGCTGTCATGAAAATCCTTTTTTCGTCACCATTATTCCCAATTTTTTCACTTCAATCCCTAACGATTCCGGTTCATCCACACCGGATTTTTCCTTTTCAGGTGTCTCAGTCTAGAAGAGTTCTGTTAAGTATGAAGATCCCAATAGCCAATGGATGGATACGCGGGCACTTGATAACTTATTTCACAATTGAGTACTTGTGAATACTCCTTTGTGAACGAGTTTTGAATGAGACACATTGCCTTGGAGATCTGCGACGACCGTTCCTTTTTTGCATCACCTGAGTGAAAATAATTTTTCTCAGCTTTGTTGTCTCCTGTGCTCTCTTCAGCTTCTGAAGAAGGATTCCTACCTCTAAGCAACGAGCATTCATGGTCATCCGGTACGATGATTTTGTCACTGTTTTCATTCTCATTTTTTTTTAAATGGACCGTCAGACCGTCAAATGGGAAAAAATTCACGTTAGACCCCTAACATGAATGTGGGAGGTTGCGTTGGATCTAAGGCCAGATTCCCAGTTGGAACGGTATGTTTTTTCGATCGCCTTATACCGTTTCGATCATGATAGGAATCTAAGGAGAAGGGATGCGAGTACACAAAAGCTTATCTGGGGATAGACTTTCTTCCAAGCTATCGAAGCCATTAATTTTTTTCTGTCTAGACATTTTGGAAATTCACGGTACATGTCTAGACATTCTGGAAATATATCATGCCTGCCGAGTCCTTTAAATGTTCTTTGAGGATGCGACAATGCAATCCTTGGCACTGTCCTCCATGACAACTGCTGCTGTGTGTGAATGAAATCAAGGAATCTAAGGGTGGATTTTTGAACAGAGCATTATCCGATAATGCTGCTTTATTTC